TTATTATGTTTTGATAGTTCCCATACATCAAGATGTTGACTGTTATTATATTCATATTAATTTGAAATCAATTTTTGTCATTGTGTTGTCAATTATATGATGTGAATGTTCATATTATGTAATTAAAATGAATATTCACATCATTATATTCAAATTAATTTGAAATGAATTTTTCTCATTTTGTTGTCAATTACATGATGTGAATATTCGTACTAAAACATACGAATGTGAACGTTCAAATCACACTATGTTGTGAATAAGAATATGTTGTTTATTAAAAATATAACGTGTTGTGAACATTCACATCACTACATTAGATGAGAGAGAATTTTTTGGAAAGATGTGAACGTTCACATCAGATGAGAGAGAATGTTCACATTGTTTTTAATGTGTTGTCAATTAAAAATAAGAAGATTCGCATTTTGTGAATGTTCATATCACTACATTAGATGAGGGAGAATTTTTTAAAAAGGTGTTGTGAATGTTCACATCGGATGAGATAGAATGTTCACATTATTTTTAATGTTTTATCGATTAAAAGTATATTCACATCAGATGTGAGAGAATGTTCACATTATTTTTAATGTATCGTCCATTAAAAATATATTCACATTATATGATAATATAAATTAATAACATCAATGCTATTTAATTTGTGTATAAAATTTTCTATGCCTTGGTCATTTCCTTTCTTTCTCCACATTAAGGCCTCGTTTGGGAACAAGCTTTTTTAGTAATTTTTTGACTTTCTGGCTAAAATGTGATGTAAAAAAAAATTAGTATGGTTGGGATGACTTTTTTGACTTTTTATGAAAAGATGTGCAAAAAATAAAGAGAAAATGAAATCTTTGACTTTTTAGTACGGGTTGTTGGTTTTTTGATTTTCTTAGTAATTTTTTGGCTAAAAGGGGCACTTGCCAAACGAGACCTAAATATCAATATCAATATTAAATATGAGGGTATAAGAGTTTAAGAAAATAATGTAAATAAAAAAAATTATAAAATAAAAGTATAAATATATGGGACTAAGTGAGTTAAAAAATTTATTCACAGATTTCTTAGATTAAAACACTTCTAAATAAGATTTATCAATAAAGATTCCTTCTTTTTTTCTTCTCCCATTTTACCCTTGATTTTTTTCCTTTTTACATGTATATCTGATTTGGTTATTTTTTTTATTTTTTTTTGATCAAATCTGATTTGGTTAAAAAGTGAAAGTTTAGTTTTATTCTAATTTGATAATATCATCAATCTTCATCATACTTAGACCATCTCCAACGGTGAACAAACTTGGCATCAAATTTGAATTTTGGTGAAAAAGTCACTTTTTGGTGCTCTAACTGTTTCATCAAATTAGTATCAAAATGAGAATTCAACAAAAAAATCATCAAACTAAGAACAGTGTACAGATTTCATCAAATTACTGTGTGTGACTGTTGGAGAGAGGAACTGGTCAACCAGTCGGTTGCTTGCCCGGTTGACCAACCGGTCGACCGGTTCATCAATTTTTGAACTGGTTGGTTTGATCTGTTTGAATTGCTTTGCTGCATGACCGTTGGAGATCAACCGGTCAACCAGCAGGTTGACCAACCGGTCGACCGGGTTGATCAATTCTGCGACAACAGTTTGAACAGGTTTGAACTGGTTTATTTTGAGATAGGTTATTTTGTGGATTACGAATAATTTGAAGGGTGATATAAATTTAAATTCCCTTCAAAATATAATTGAAATTGTTACTTCTCATATACATATTTCAGAATTAGCCGTTACAATAATTTACTGTTGGATGTATAGAGTATTTTGAAAATTTACCGTTGATGATGTGCTCTATAAAATATATCTATTTCATATATCAAGCTGAAAGAGTATTTCGTTTTCAGAATAGCATTACATTAAAAGTTGTGAATTTTGTTTCTTTTGGGTCATTAGAAATTTTTTTCCCTTGAAATTTTAATTTATATTATCTAATTAAATTATCTGATTCTGAGTTTGAGTGTATATCATTCTAATATTTTTCAGTAAGTTAGATATTATATGTACTTTATTTTTTCCAAACTATGGAAGATTTTGAAATGCTTGAGGAATCACAAATGTTGGAGCACAACACTGATATTAATTTTATGTCGGAAACTTCACGAGAGCAGAACACGCAGAACAGTGCTAATCATTTTATTTCAGAAACTTCTCGTGTTTCTCGTGGAAAAGTGTTCACAATTATAGAAAATGAAACTTTATGCAAATCTCGGTTAGCAGTCTCTCAAGATCCCATTACTGGTAATAGTCAGACTATGGCTATATTTTGGGAATGAGTACTTGTTTATTTTAATTCACAATTGAGTGGTGAATCAAATTGAAACCGTATTTCTTTGTCTCACCGTTGGTCTGGCATGCAAAAAGCAATTAATAAATTCTGTGATTTTCTTGAACAAATTCAACTGAGGCAACAAAGTGAAACAACTGAAGCACATATGATAAAATTTATTTGTGTTATTAAATATCAATTTTCTTTTCTAAATGTATACTTGTTATTGAAATGTTTGTAATTTTTTTTTTAGGTCGCTGAAGCGAAGCGGATGTATCATGCAATACAGAAAAAACACTTCACATTTGATACATGTTGGGATATTTTGTGCCGAAGTTGTAAGTGGGATGAATTTCGATCACAACCCAAAAGAAGCACGCAACATGCTGATCCATGTTTGAATCCACCAACTGAATATGCAGATGAATTTCAATCCAACCAGAATACTGCGGTGCACAAACAACCATCTAATACATTAACACGACCAATTGGTACTAAGGCAGCGAAAGAGAAGTTGAAGAATCAAACAATGCACGATAGTAGATTTGATGAAATGGCTGCCAACCAATCCAAAATTGTTGAAGTGTTATCAACTATCTTCGCTAGAACTATTGAGCAAGATGAACAAAAGGCGATAGACCGTGAGCAGAAGGCTGCAGAGCGTCGAAGAAGGGCCGAAGATAGGGAGGAACAACTAAAACTCATATCTATGATGAATGAAAGAGAACAACGAAATGAAAATCATAAAATAATGTCAATGGACATGACAACTTTAAATCCTATATAAAAGGCGTACTACGAAGATCATCAACATAGATTTTATTTCGAATAACTAATAGATTGCCTTGAAAGGTTTTGGTGTATTAGTGGATTTCATTTATTGGTTTTATTATTTAAAAATATTACATCTAACTTGTGTTGGTTAGTTTTATTGGAATTATTAATGTGATAAATAATCATGTAATCACAATTTTATTAAATGGCACACAATGATTTATGAAACATCATATTTCAAGTTGAATGTGGATTTATGGATATTTCCTAGTCATTCATTTTTTAACTAAACAATACATATTAAATAGCAAGAGCAAGGCATAAAAGAACCTACAAGAATAAAGCAAATCATCAGAAATATCATATTTTTATGAATATGTGGATTTATGGATTTCTGCCATAGTTTTTACCATATTTAAAATTCAGATTTTACTGATTTTATGGATTTTTATTAAACATCAGATTTTATGAATTTTTGTAATGGATTTTTACCATATTTCAAGTTCAATATATAATTGTTGCCATGTTTTTTGCATAGGGAGATCTTTGGTCTATAGTTCAATATGAATTTTTTTTAATTAACCTCATCTTCTTTAAAATGATATTTCAAGTGAAGGCCATTGACTACTATAGCATGATTTATACCAAAAAATTTGAACTGAATAATGACATTTTTGTAGCATTTTCAGAATATACATAATCATGTCCTTTGTCAAATAGACATTCAAATGAATAACTATAATATGAAGTGATAATAACTGCATAGGCCAATGTCATAACTGAATAGGTTTTAATTAACCTCGTCTTCTTTAACAAATTGACCCAACAAAAGGTTGTTAAAATAACAAAATACAAAACAATGCGAATACATAATGTCAAACACATCAACAATCATTATCTGGTGGTGGTGGTTGAGGAGGAAAGTAGTGATGGTATATGTCATTTACGCGATGCTCAATCCTATCTATGCGATTGTTTGCCACTTTATGACGTCTTTCAATGTTGACACAGAACTCACCAAATTGTTGAATTAATGAGTTCTGCGCAGTGGTAAATGTATCAAACTAAGAACCTAACGAATTGACCTGATTAGCCATTTGACGTTCCCATTGAACGCGTTGATTATAACGTTGTTCTTCCATGGCCAAAAACTCAGTTCCATATTGAGGTTGTTCAGTTGATGGCATCACATTGGCAGGAGGATCTTTTGGAGCATCATCTGGTGGGACTTCATCTTCTAAATCTTCTGCATCATTAACACTTCCTATTAAATTGGAGGCTGCACCAGCACAGGTCACTGTATACTGAGTAATGGGTGAACGGATTTTGATCTCCATTTCATTTACAAGGCGAACCCTAAAATGTTTGAAAATTTTTGTTAAGAGTGCCCTAAACAGTAATGACCGGCCCGTGAATTGACCTTGATTTGCGAATATCATTTCTTTCATAATTATGTAACACAAATCTAACTTATGGCCAACTTCAAAACAGTATAACAAATAGGCATTAAAATATGGGACCGTATCATGATGTCCTTTTTTTGGAAATATAACAAATAGGCATTAAAATATTTCAAGAAATAGGAAAAGAATTGGCAACAGAAATGGAGGGAAACCAAAAAAAAAATAATAATAATAATTCCCTTACCAGTCGACCAACCGGTCGCCCCTCCCCCAGTTTACATAGGTGGGTTCAAACAGCTCAAAAAGGTTTTAAAAAAAAAAATATTTAGCCTAACCGGTCGACCAACCGGTTGACCCACGGATTTTGATGCACAGTTGGAACAACTGACATAAAATTGAGAAAATGAGCCATTTTTTACTCAAATTTGATGAAAAAAATACTGAACCGTTGGAGATGCTCTTAGGAAATCTACCTTCAACTATAATAATTGCATTTAGATAATCAAAAAGTGATTCAGCTTCTTGGTCGACCAACCGGTCGCCCCTCCCCCAGTTCACATAGGTGGGTTCAAACAGCTCAAAAAGGTTTTAAAAAAAAAATATTTAGCCTTACCGGTCGACCAACCGGTTGACCCACGGATTTTGATGCACAGTTGGAACAACTGATATAAAATTGAGAAAATGAGCCATTTTTTACTCAAATTTGATGAAAAAAATACTGAACCGTTGGAGATGCTCTTAGGAAATCTACCTTCAACTATAATAATTGCATTTAGATAATCAAAAAGTGATTCAGCTTCTTTAGTCTCATCTCGTGTGTAGTGCGAAGGAAGTGCTCCGGCTGGAAAGTGGAGATTTGTGATTTTCGGAGTTCAAGCTTCAATCTTCAGATTTTCGGACTTCACTCTGCAGATTTTCAGAGTTCAACAAGGTAAGACTATAAATTAAATATGTATTTATGAATTCTATACATTTGTTCATAAATATATAAATTCAAGAAAGCAAGTCCAAGAAAGACAATAATAATTCAATTTTTTTTTTGACTTTTTATCTTATTTTACCTTATTTTATTTTTGTAATTTTCTAACTTTTTTTTTTTAATCATCTACACTAAATAGAAAATCCTTTAATTTGAATTTTTTGATCATAAATTTTGGTCATGGCCATTTTTGTATTTTGTTTAGTGTTTGGGATTTGGTTTTTTTATTTATGATTTTTTTGTTAGCTTGTTTTTGTTTTGGTGAACTTTTTTTCAAAAAAATTTAGGATTATATTCAACTAGAGCAATGACAAAAATATTTAATTTTTTTTTAAAATAGTCCAGAAAAGAGAAATATTTAAAATTTTTTTTTTTTTATTTGTTTTTTCTTTATTTTGGCTTATTTTATTTTATTTTACTGAATTTTTTTTTTAATTTTTTTTTATTCATATAGACAATCTAGAAAAAAAAATGACATACTACTACAAAAACAGATAAAGATCACACTTTTTTTTGTGTGATCTATGTTATTTAATCACAATTTTTAAATTTTGTCAAATGTGATCTTTGGGAGTGTCACAGTTTTTAAGTGTGATTAATAACATTTAAATCACATCTTTTAAGTGTGATTAAAAATTAATAAAACCTGTAATAATAAGTATTTAGATCATATATTTTAAGTGTGATTAATACCTAATAAAACATATGATTAATAATGAGATAAGATCACACGTTATATGTATTTCTCATCACAGTTAATGCGTATGATAAAAAAAAAAATTCAACATATTTAAAGAATAATCAATATTATTTTTGTACACGCATTTCAATAATGTAATATGACTACTGGTAAAAAATTCACAAAGTTGTGTGTTTAGATCAAAATAATCGAGATTAGAATTGTTTTGATAGAAGATTAGCAACTCAGGCTGAAGTCATTTAAAAATTAATGTTACATTCAAACTATAATTTTTAAAGTCTAATGGCTACTAGTACTACACAGTCAATAACAATAGTGTAATGTAAAATTAATGTAATGTAAGAATAACATCAAACTACCAAAAATAAGAAAATATTTTCCTTTCCAAAATTACGAAGAGTTGATGAAACAAAACAGATAGGATAACCTCCATAACAGTACACAAAAATGTATTTTCTCCATAGCATTTCTATACTCATAAATAATTATATGTAACTTATCTATAACATAAAATGTAGTGTTGAAATATTCTATTTTAATATCAATCATGTAGTACTAGTAGTCATGTCGACAGAAATATCCATCAGAAGCATGATATTCTAGGTCTAGGCATTTAACTAGGTAATGGCAGAGGTTATTGAGTCTCCAATGTAGGATTCACTATGCAGCAAGGTCAATCCAAAATATAAATTAGAAACAAAATTACTATAGGAAAATATAGATGAGCACCAGATAAGTGTGCCAAAAAATAGGAAGCCAGAATGTTGTCAATCCTACCTAGAGCAGTCACAAATTGAGGTGGTTGAGGGATATTTCTCACCGTAGTAGAATCATCCCAAAGGCATATGTGATACATAGATTGTAGAGTTCACTATGAAGAAACATCAATCCAAAATATAAATTAGATAACAAAATTACTATAAGAAATACAGGTGAGCACCAGATAAGTGTGCCAAAAAACAGGAAGCTGAAATGTTGTCAATCCTACCTGGAGTAGTTACAGATTGAGGGGCTTGAGGGACATTTCTCATTGCGGCAGAATCATCCCAAGGCATATTTGATAAATACATTGTACGGTTCGCTCAATCCAAAATATAAATTTGAAAACAAAATTGCTACAGGAAATATATCGCTGAGCACCAGATAAGTGTGCCAAAAAACAGGAAGCTGGAATGTTTTCAGTCCTACCTGGGGCAATTACAAATTGAGAAACGACATATAGTTGTATTTCATGCTTTGAGTTACGTTGGCCAACTTTAAACAATAAAACTTCTCTTCCATTTTATTTTTCAAAATATATGGAGTGCATGACACTATTAGAACTTTGGAAGCATTAGACATAGTATCTTGTGGTTCAAAGAAAAAGAAACCAAAAATATTGATGCCTTGTTTTCTGACATAGTAACAAACTAATTCAACCACAAATCAAACACAACCTCCCTAGATTTAGAAGAATGCATCCTCACAATTGCAAGTGAATCAAAACACATTGCATCTATATATAAAAAAAAAAAAAAGAAGAAAAAAAAAAGGGGCAAAAAGTAAGGAAGGATAGAGGATACCTCTCCATAAATTCCATTTTGGGCATTGTCAAGCATTATCCCAACCTGCGGAGCCATATTAGTGGACATATGAACAAACCTCTGCATACGTTTTTCTTTTGCAGTTTTCAGAACCCACAGTGGCTGAGGGACATCATATATCATTTAAAAAGTGTTTGAAGACCGAAAAAAAACATTGAAATATCAGCCAAATTTCATAATGTGGGATAAGTGACAACAGTACCGGTCCAAACATCAAAATTATCTTCAATGGGTCCAACTCCGTTTGTTCTCCAAAATTCAAATACACAGTACTCATTCATAAGAAAATGCAAATGCAGAAGAATAGCACTTACTGTAACAAGATTACTAGAGTGGCCAATATATTTTTGTATAGAAGTCCCTTCACACACTACATGGCTTGCGTTGCAACCAACAAACCATTCATTTAAAAATGTAGCACCTTCTGCAGCAGCAGCCTTGTAAACCTGCCACAACACATCCACATCTCAGGCACGTGCAAAAAGGAAACAATATTGTTCTAATTCATCTTAAATCAGGAGGCTTTAGTCAGAATTAATAAAAATAAATAAATTAATAATAAAAAAAGATACTTCGTTCCACAGCTCGCACACCAACAATGTACACAACAAATTCTACATCAAGTTTCCAGAGGAATTCGCATAAAAGTGGAACACTTACATGGCTTTCAATAACAAGAAAGCAGCATATTTCACATCATATTTCAACCAACAAAATATTGAGGCTACACACGTTTACCTACATATCTAACACAAGGATGCTAGCAATGACTTCTACATATCTAACACAAGGATGCTGGCAGCAATGATTTTTTTTTTTTTTTTCCCATCAAGATTGGTTAAATGAACATAATTTGGTTTAAAAGCATTGATCACCTAAATCAGCTAGTAGTAACCACAGATATCAGGTTACAGAAAGGTTATTGATCACTGTGGGCACAACTATAATACCTCATCGAAAACAGGCACACTTCCCCCTACAAGACCTGTATTTCCACCTTGTCGCAATCCCAAATTGGAGATATATTGACCATCCGGAGTGATATAGTCAGGACTACTGCATTCAAAAAAAAAAAAAAAAAGGACTATGTTCAAAACAAACCATTGCAAGAGATAGTTAGTCAATTCGATTGAATGTACATTAGGACATTTAAGAAAGCATAAAATCAAATCAACACAGAAAAATTGTTGCGTATAGCATACGCACAAACATGTATTGTGTATAAAAAGTTAGAGTATCAAATTGAGCAATCGGAATAAAACTATAAAAAGTTAAAGGAGTACCAAAAGAAATCTTGACTGAGAATGAAATCTTTGTCATCTGCAATCGAATCGATGTCAATACTGAAGGGTGAAGACGATGGAACTTGCGATTCGGAGGATTGTTGATGGAGAGGGAAGAAAGAAACTTGACCTAGCTGCTCAACAGTCAAGTGTCTAGCCAGTGACCCTTCATTCTCTTTTTCTCTCTCCTGCTACTCCTCAGGTTTTCCTCTTCAACAATTTGCAACCTCCACCTCTCTCTCTCTCCCTCCCCCTGTTATATGTATGTATTTTAGATGGTGTGATAAAATATATATATATATATATATATATATATAGGGTTCGTTTGGTTTGTATTTCTGAAAAAATTTTGGGAAATTTTCTCTACAAATAAGGTCAAGTTTGGGAAGACTAAATAAGTGCACTTTTTTACTTTTTTTGTATTATGTGTAGAAAAAGTAGAGAGGAGATGTTGATTGATGTGACCCAAAAAAGATAAAAAGATGAAATAAGTGCACTTTTCTTATTTAAATCACATTATTTTATTTAAGTTACATCGCCTCTCTATCACATCAGTTCAAACTCAATTCATACCCAATTCATATTTGATAAAAAGTTAAAAAGTGTACTTATTTAGATCATCTCAAACCACCCCTAAAAAGATAAAAATAAATATTATTGCATATTAATTAAAAAGTGTAATTAAAAAATATATATATATATAATCACACTTAATTGAAAAATGACATAAAAAATAAATATCATCCCACTCAATCAAATTAATGTGATTAAAATATAATTTAATTTTTTTTATCATACTTCTAATAAAAGTAAAATATTTTTATTTATCAAAATATGATATTTAATTGTTTTTGTAATAGTGATAATTTTGAAAAAAGAATAATGATTAAAGATTAAAAAAAAAATCCAGAAAAATACTTGGATTATTTGAATGTTCCCAAACAGCCCTTTGGTATGCTATTCTACAACTTTTAAAAATTAAATAGAATAAAAATTATTTTTAGGTATTATATTAAAAATTGTGTAGTTATTTATTGTTATAACAATCATAAAATATATCATTTCATTCTTAGGACATAAAACAAAATGCTCTTCAAAATTCATAATTTGTATAATATTAATTTTGATGTTAAAATTGAGCAGATTATACCAATAGTCTATATATTTTAGTTATTGTGTGATTTTGGTCTTATACTTTGATTTGATTAATTACAATTCTTATCATTATTTTTTTTATTAATAATGAAGAATGTATTTTTACGGGTAAACATGTAAATTGATTTACTTAATTAATTAATTTCAACCAACTCAATTTTTAAAATTCTGTTAAAAATCATAACCACATTATTAATTACAATTTAGGCAAATATGTAATATAAATTCCATGGAAATTTATTATTAATTACACTTTCAATTTTTATAATCTTTAATTGTAATAATTTGTACAATTTATTATTCCATGGAAATTTATTTTTAATCTTAATTATGATCTGAGTCTAATTTTTGTAATTATAAAATGTCACTGTATGCTTTCTTTTCTTGTTTTGTGTACATGCTATATCAGAATTACAATGCTAATAAAATTATTATCAAAATGACAGTTGCAGTTTAATTTTTATTTATCGATTTGTTACGGTATATATTGTTGTTTAATACAGTATAGTGTTTCAACCATGCTGGAAAAGCAAAAAAAAGTAGTGTCGTATGCAAATTTTTCACAAGAACGAAAAGATCACATCAATCAAAGAAGGTGAGAATTAAGAGCAGAAAAACAAAAAGATTGACCAACAAAAACACGCCACATCAATGAATCAAGCAATTTATTTGAATATGAACCATTGGAAATATCTGAACGTCCTGTTCTTACATTAGTTTTTTTAAAACCTTCCCAAATTAGTCTTGAAAGAGTAACCATCAATCATAACACCTTTGAAATAGGTATAATTTTTTTAGAGTCTTTATAAAGAAGAAGAGAATCACAAAAAGAGATGTACCGGTTGAAGCCTTCGTTTTACCAAATAGACCATGTTGTTCTTTTTATAATGCAAAAAAAAAAAAAAACAGATCTCGAGCGAGATGGTTTTTGTTGTTCTGTTGGGGAAATTACAGTATGTTCCAATGTTGTTCCATCTCAATTATATGACTTGTTCAAAGGTCATTCCAAAAATTCTCTTCACTTCTTGAAGTCCATTCGTGCCTATAATAATTCATTTGCTTTCACTTCATTCGGGGTTATCACTGACAAATAATTAGGGCATACAAATAGAGGAATCTATAAGTTTCGTGTGCAATGACAGGTTTATCATTATATCAATTAGCTTTATTCTTTAGATCATAAACCTTCTTACTTACAGCTCTATTTCATTGGCACTAAACACGAAGTTCAGAATAGGATGAGGATTGCAGACAATCTAGATCCGAACATCATTGCTCTTCTAATTGATATTGTCGCTTCAAATCCATATTCTATATTCTTTAGAAGTTTAAGAGATGTTTCTAACCTAGACACTTATCATATACTTATCTGTGCTGATCCATCTTTAGATCCCCAAACTTTTAATCCTCTTACTACATTCCAAGTTGCTGCAATATGGCATGAGAATGATGAAGTTGTTGAGTATAGAGAGCTTGATATCATTGTCCAAAAACATCAAGGTCATTTTGAAAGAATTTGGTATTATTATGGATGCTATGATCCACTACAATATTCATTGCTATTTTCTTTTGGTGAACCTGGATGGCACCAAGGAATAAAGAAAAAAAACAAAAAAGACAAAAACAAATTTTCAAATGGTCAATTTTTTGTGTTGGCAATAGAAGCTTCCAATGCTGATGATTAATTATGTGACAACCCCGTTCTGTGTTATCTTGTTAACCTTTAATTATCTTGTGATTATGTGTTTGATATGAATTTGAATGCTAATCATGTGATTATATGTGAATTTGAAGTTATGTCTGTCCACCGTAGGAAAACCTGTTCTACTTCTTGTAATAATTTGAAATTGAGGGTCGTGGAGGCGACAGAAACCAAAATTTATTGTATCATTGTGATTAGCATGATGTAGCCCAACTTTTCGCATTCCTTTCGGAGGGCGAATAGCCCTAATATTAGGACTCCACTTGTGGTTCTGAATTTGATTTCATAAGTGCAATGTGAAATAGTGAAAACACTAAAAGAATCCAATTCTGGTAATTCTTTTTGAAAAATCGATATTTTGAATAAAATGTCAAAAATGGACTACTTTGCCAGATTTCAGAGTTGTCACCTAAATATTTTTAAAAAATTTAGGAAACTTGAGACTCGTGCCAAAGGCCATTAGTCTGTCATCACCAAAGTGACTTGGCTCAGGAACTTAGGTATGAGAGGGGAAGGTTATGAATTGAGCACCTCACTCGCCTGATTAAAGATCAGTCTCTACTAATCATGATGTGATTTTTATTTACATTACATGCTCTTGTTCCGATTATTAGCTATTTTTACTACGTGACGCACACAAGTATAGACTAATTTGTAAAGATTGGAACACTTTGATTTCATGTTTGTTTGAAAATTGTTTTTGATACTCGTCACTTGAAAAGATGAGTTTGTACATTAATCAATTTATCCTAATTTTGGCGACTAGCCTTCATTTACAGGCATTCAAACAGTTATATCATTTAAGCAATTAGTCTCATGGAAATATGCTTGGTATGGCAACACAAACATTCGATGCAATATGTTAAAGCAAGTAAATGCTTAGCTAGTACTCCAAGCCAAAAAAGGTGAAAAAGTTAGAAAAATGCATGATCCTAACTATGCAATATGACTAATGCAACGCACACATTATGTATTTTATGGACTCGGCTATGAGCATGGCATCTGATTTCATTCAAGACATGCGAGAGAGCACATATTCAAGTAACGAGTTTGAATGTTTGATTTCAGGTTAGCATGATGAGCCGAACCTTGGATGTATGTAAGACAATGGATGCAAAACATGGAGTATGCTAACGAAACGTGATGTTTCTAAACTAACCATCACAAGCAAGTAAGTAAAAGGGAGAAATAGGTGGGATTAGAAGACATACAACTTATTACAACATTGCCCTCGTGCAAGAGGGTGCGAATCAAAGTTCGAAAATCCTAATTAAACTATTTATTACAAAACCGAATGAATAAATTAAAGAATTAACTAGCAAACTAGGCTATTACAACAAGGATAACCATGACTAGTAATCTAACTATCTAAGTTTAATTAACTACAACAATTACAAATAAACAATAATAATTATAACAAGACTAATAAATAAATTAATTACAATAATGCATGGAGCATTAATACACAAGGGTTGCATGCACAAGGTCCCAGAATAGCACTGCCTGTCTTGGCTTGTTCTGTTTCACCTTCAGACACTGCCTTCTATTTTCTGCAAAAATACACTGCTGACCAAACATTAATGACCAACCAGCCCTAAATGAAGCCCGGCCAGGCCTAAAGAAGGCTGGTCTTGCCTCAATTTCATGTAAAATTCTATTTTGTGCTTTAAAGTGAAAACAGTGCAGACAGAGTGTTCTGGACTCTATTTGTCCCTCTTATACTTCTCTGTCATAGGAAAGCCTCGAGAGAAGGTTAGAATTGTTTCCAAAACCATCAATGAGCAAGTTGATTGCTTAATGATTTTGATGCACAATTTGGACAAAAATCAATAAATGAAAGGAACTATAACCACCCCTCCCTCCTATCATGGAGTGAACTCAAAGAGGGAGGTAGAGACGTTTCAAGATCCATCAAAACATCATGAAGTGATGTAAGACAACTCTTGACACAATAGATTCGGCATAACGTCCGGCCAAATCCCAAGCAATATAACTCATTTTCTTTATGTGAGTTGGTTCATTTTAAGCCAAATTCATTAGCCTTTGTCTCCCATTAATCCATTAAGTATAAGATGATTGTTATGTCCACTAAGGATTACGTCCACTAAGTGAGAAATATGTCAAACGGGAGGTGATTCTCAACATGAAAAAGAGACTACACTGTTGGCAATGAATCTCTGTAGAGATTAAGCCATTAAGCATAAATCGCTAGTTCACATTTTGAATAACCATCAACCGATTGAAAAAACTCTCAAATGAAAGAGATGAATAGCAAGTTGATTATTAAAATGAAGTCCTTAAACATGGAAATGAGTTGAAGAAAAGCTTAGAACAATGGACAACAAGTTATGTATGCAAACTTATGAGACAACGACTAAGTTAATCAAAGCATGAACTATTTAAACAACTTAAGACAGCCCTAAAA